ATGGGCTTTTCATACCTGAGTGTAAGGAGCACTGTCTGAGTTCTGACATTCAAAAAAACAAAGCCAGGGAGGTGACCCACATTTAGGGCAGCAGACCTCTCCCATCTTACCCACTACTCCCCTCAGCAGTATACTGCAGTAGATCTGCCTGTTCTGCTCCCAACTCTGTCTCTGGTGAATCCTCTCACCTCCTGCACCTATGGCCATTCCCAGTTCTTGTATACACAAATAAATAAAATCTTTAAATAAACACTCACAAACAAAAACATGGTTTAGTAATCAGAAACACCAGGGGAGACCACATGTGCTTACCAAAGCATATGAATGAATAAAAGACTACGAAATACCTTCCAGTCTTTGGGATCAAGTGTTTTCAGCATAGGAAACTCTTCCAACTGCAATTCTTCATCTTCAGATTCCTCTGATAGCTCTTTCTTATCCTCTAGTTCCTGAAAAGAGGCAGAAGCATTTCTGTTTCTCCTCTTAATAAAAGCTTCAAACCATCTTCCCACAGGTTCAACTTGACAGAGTGTTGACGCTGTGATCGAAAACGTTAAAAGACTTCAATATATTGAAGAAAATATCTGTTTCAAGGCAATACATTTTCTCAGGAAGTAAAGCCAAACTGTGACAGCATCAGAATATAATTTTAAAACCGCCAACGAGAGCTAGCTTCTTGGCCTAGGGATTAAGTCTCGGTGTTATCACCTCTAGCTTGAGTTCGATCTCTGGCAAGAAAATAAATACACATGGTGAACCAGACCTCTCCTGTCTTGCGTGCTGCTCCTCTTACCAGTCCGTGTATTTCCGTAGATTTGCCTGTTATGCTCCCAACTCTGTTTCTGGTGAACCGTCTCACCCCCCTGTACCTCTAACTTACACCCAGTTCTAATAAAAATATTAAAAACAAACAAACCACCAACTAACAAAAAGATTGCAGTAATACAATTGATATGTGGTTAGTAAAGAGTAATCATTTCTGAATATTAACAGAATATTCAGCAAACTTTTCTAGTTATCTGACAAAGCATTCAGCAATGTCACCAGGACATCAATACTTTTCTGGGGATTTAATAGGAAGATGAGGAAAAGGGAGAAATACGGTAAATTATGTCACTTTTAGACCAATTTTTGTAATAAAGGAGCAAATGATGAACTGTCATAGAGAGGTGTCTCATAAGGCACAAGTTTTCTAAACAACTCAAAATTATCTTATTTAAAACCCATAAAATCAGAGAGCTTTGAAAAATTTTAAGAATTCATTAGTAATGATCTGTTCTAAAAGACATTCTTCCAAGAAGTGAATGGGGATTTATTAATGCACTTGTGCTACAGTGGTACAAGTTCTGAATCTAAAGTTAGAAATTGAATTTTAGTCTAGTTCTATTAGTGGCTATGTGAAATAAGTCACAGATGTCTTCAATGTAAAATAAAAACAATTTATCTGATACAGTTTTGAAAGACTGAATAACCTGTGGTTTTGAAAATCTCAAATATTTAAAAGGTCTTATCATTACTCTTGTAAAGTGGGGGCAGATCCCTGAGCATTGTATATTAGTAATTCAAAAAGATAAATGGGGTCAGGGGAAAGAGAGACCACCTGAATACTAATCTCTTAATCCATATGAAAGTAAAAAGCTTGTCGCTGCCAGTAATAAATAACTCAGATGTATTTTCTAAAAATAAGTGACTTTTCAAGTCTTCATTGCTTTGTGAAATGAAGTTTTCTTCCACCATACACAGGAGAGGATTCAAGCATTATGTCCAAGAAATACTACCTGTAGTATGGGTGTGGCTTTTAAAGACTTCTAACCTTTCCCTTTAGTTCTAAAATCACACAGAAACTTCCATAAGTACAAATGAAACATGTGCCACACGATAGTTCAAAATCATATTCAAGTAGTGCCATACATGAAGAGGTTATGGTAACTAATGTAGGTCACTGAAACTGGACACTAGGTTTACAAATATCCACGACAACACCGAGCTATAATCCTGAGACCCTACAGCACCAGGACAAGTTTTGCTCCTAATGCTGCCTTTAAGAATGTCTACACGGGACCTTACCAGCAACACAGGCAAACAGGCTTTTCATAACGAGTATAAGCAGCAGTGTCTGAGTTCTGACATTTAAAAAAACAAAGCCGGAGCAAATGTAGACAGAGAGTAGGTGTTTAGAGCACTAGCTGCCAGGCTTTGATCGACCTGAGGCACGTGGGGGTGCTCGTTGGGGGCAACCTCTTGCCGTACACAAGAGGATGCTTTATGAGAGCCTTTTCAGTGTACTGGAGGATTCGGTTCCGAACTGTTCAGCCCGATCCATGAGTCAGCAGTCGTGACAGAAGGAAGAAACCGCAGGGGCAGAAGGCAGACGCCCCCCTTCTTCCAGCCTGGTGGGAGATTATGTACAGCAGGGAGCAAAAAGGCACGTCACGGCCCCACATGTCTAGCAGCTAGCCGCCAGGAGCACCGACAGAGAACTCGGGGTCTCCAAGGTGGGGGACGGAAACAGGGGCTGCCGAGGTGAGGCGCATTCGGGGTTGAGTGGGCACGTACCAGAGGTCAGAGCGTGGGTGATGGCGGTGCCCTGGCCGTCCGCAGCGCTCGGCAGGAGTAGCATGATGGCGCCGCAGCCAGCCCAGACGGCACAGTGGCTCGCGTGCCGGGCGGAGAGCGCTTAGCGTGCCCTCCAGCTCTACCTTGGTCTCCGAGCCTCGCGCCTTGGCTCAACGATGCACAGGAACCGGCGCATGGAGACGACCAATAACTACTTCCGTAATAGGGCTTTCGCGGTGCGGAGGCCAATTCCACCCGCACCCACCCCAGCCAACGTGTGCAGCAGCCTAGCTCCTCCGCTGACTCAGATCCGGCTGGGAACCTGGACTTACGACAAGAAAGGTTCCTAGACGCATCAATTCCCTTGTGTGAAATAAGTACTTGTCATCGTCCAGATACAGTACATCGAACATAGTTTGCTTAAGTAGCGCTTACTATATGCCTTTGAAGTTCCTACTACTTTATATGTTAATTTGAACCTAGCCACTGATTTTCAGAAATTCTACTTCTATAAATGAAAAACGAAGAGCTGTGGAATAATCAGCATTGAGGATGACTACGAAAGTCTACATACACAATCACGGAGAATTCCGCTTACACACTTGTAAAGCATTTGTGTTTGCCAAAATAACAGCAGCTAACATTTTGTTGTGCCATTGCTAAGTAACTTACCTACATTATCTCACTTAATCCCCAAAACATACAAAAAAGAAGACCCCTCTTTAGATTCTGTTCCACGGCTAACGTTTTTACCCTGCCATAACAACACGAAGTTTTCTTTTAAAATATTCCCAATTTTAGGACTCTGGAACTTATTTATAATAAAATTAATTTTCTTTCTTCATTGTATGCTTCATTCTAGACTGAGAATAAAGGAAAGAAGCTAGCAAAAGGAAACCAGTGGGTAAACTCATTCTGTAACAGTAGTATCTGGGAAAAGTTAGGCAAAATAGAAGGCTTGATATCCCAGTCTTCAGTAAAGAGCAACAGAAAGTAGCAAATTATTCTTTACGAATTACATTTTCACTGTTTAACACGTTGAGTTGTCTTGTGTATCTGTTACATGCCAAAAACGTCACTTCAAAACGAACATTTCAAAAACCAAGCTAAACATCTTCCAACCCACGTCTTTATTAGCAACCACTATTAAAACAGGCTCTAAAGTGCAAAGTAGCCTGAGTCCACTTTCTTAATGATTTTAATTAATGATGTTTTTCTTCCACCCCCCTCATCCATCTCACCATCCTAAAATTGTTTATTTTTAAATTGTAATACAATACACATAAAATTAAATCTCACTTCAATGATTTTTAAGTGCACAGTGCAGAGGGGTTACGTGCATTCCCTCCGTGGGGCAAAATCTCTCCAGAACTTTTAACCTGGCAAAGAAAGTCTTCAGCCATTAAACATCCCCCCATCTCTATATTCTCTTACCCTGGCCACTACCATTCTATGTTCTATGAGCTTGACAACTTTAGGTATTTAGGTATCTCATGTAAGTGGAATCACGAATCACACAATGGTTTTTTTTTTTTTTTTGGCTTAGTCATTTGTGATAACATCCTCAAACCTTAGTATATCTCAGAATTTACTTCTTTTAAAAGACAGATTATTATTCCATCATATGTATATTTTGCTTATTCATTCATGTGTCTATGGTTTGCTTCCACTATTTCATTATTGTGAATAACACTTATTTTGTTACAGGGTAGTCCAGAGTGAAACTGGGCTGTTGTCTGAGGGTCCTCACCGGCGCGCTTAAAATGTAGTTGTTCTGCAGACACACAAAAAGGGTAATGTTCCTTTAGTACATCCTTCCCCTTAACATTATGAATGTGGATATATAAGTATCTCTTTGAGGCCCTGATTCCAATTCTTTTGTATATACCCAGGAGTGGAATTGCTAAGTCATGTGTTGGTTCAATTTCTAGTATCTTGAGGAACTGTCATACTACTCTCCACAGCGGTTACTTCTTTGTCTAGTACCACCAACGGTGCACAAGATTATGTGCCTGTTGGCCATTTGTATACCTTCTGTGGCGTGCTATTCCTTCCTCTATTCCTGTTCCTCTATCACCATTTTTCGTTGTGCTTCCTCATTGTTGAGGAATATATTTAGGATGTTAGCTCCTTATTAGATATGAAACACAGTATTTTCTTCTGTAAATTCCTTATTCCTGTTAACATCAGACATAACATTTCTATTTGTAGGTTTATGTGCTAGATACTTGACACTCAACGAAGAGAAGGGAGATTAAAGCTCGTAAACTAGTTACTCAGTGTATAGTAAACAAATGACTAAACCAGGATTTAAATTTAATGGCCGGACCACGGATGGTCTGGAAAGTTGTAAAGAGCCAGGGCAGACTGACAGGCCCTTCACAGGAATTCTTCCTACTCGCTTCCGCCTCCAGAGACGTAAAGGAACCCACAGAACCGGGCTCTACTTCCGGTGGGGAAGTAGAAGGAAAGGCACCACCGGAACCCAGGAAGGTGCTGTGTAATCATTGTGGAGCTGTAACGCCTGGTCAGCCAGAATGCCGGATTACCTCGGTGCGGATCAGCGGAAAACCAAAGAAGATGAGAAGGACGACAAGCCCATCAGAGGTCAGTTGGCACTAGCAGGATTTCGGGGCCGCGGCAGGACTCTTGGTCTTGGAAGGGGAGGCTTGATTCCCGCCCCAAGCAGGGCGCTGAGGCCCTTTAGTGCCCCTAATGATTTATAATGTGGGGTTACAGCCGCGGTAGCCTGCCTGCCTTCGTTGTCTACCTCATCCCACCCCGTGTTCTATATTCATCCTCCTCGGATCGAAATTTTTTATTGATATTTAGCACTTGCCAGTCACGCACCGTGCTTGGCCATGCAGGCCTCGAAAAATTTCCGTGGGGCGGTACTCGGTCCCCTGGGTCCTCTATTCTGTGACAGGTTGGTGCTATCGCTGTGTTGGCCGGGTCCCGAGACAGTTTTCTTTCAAACAGCAGCGTTTCTTGGATTAGATGATGCATTCTCATGATTCAAAACTAAAAAGGCAGAGAAAGATACATTGAATAGTGTCATATTCTTGATCCCGATGACCCGCAACTAAGTTAACGTTTTGCGTTTTCTATTTTCTGTGTATATACCAGCAATTTTGCTTATAGTTTACTTTTTACATAACTGTAGCATATGTACATTTTTATTTTCAGTCTTAATATATTTTAGGGGTAAGTTCATTATATATCCTGCACTTACATACTACTCTACCCGAACTACCCTACCTTTTCGGGTGTACAGTAATATAATAATCGTTATAGGTGGACATTTAGATTTCTTCCAGTCTGATCAATGTTAGAGCAATAAATGTCCTTGTTCATATAATTATTACCACATGCACAAACAGAAGGTAAATTTTTAGAAACAGAAGGTAAATTTTAGACCTTAATTTTGGTAGTGCCAAATTATTCTCGGTAAAGCTAACACGACACCTTTACCCACAGTGCATGAGTTATGCATGCTATTTCCATATATCGCTTCTTACATTAGCAGTCTCATCTCTATGCTGTTTTCCTTTTTTTGAGTATTTCAAACATTCTTGTCCCCCCACTCCATCTTTTCTCTCACCTCCCTAAGCTATTTCAACCACCCTTTCTTTTCTATTTCCTCCAAAGAACATTTGCCTCTTTACTTTTGTCTCACACCTGTTGTCTCTCTTGAAAGTTTTTTCTTAGGACACTGCAAACCTCATAGTTACTCAGACATCTATGGAAAATTTAACCACAGAGATTTAATATTTGATCTGTATATTTCTCTGGGTATGCTATTTTTAAAATATATTCATAAATATTCCCTTTTAAATAGTTATAACTAATGTGTATAGAATTTTATGTGCTTTAATTCATGTCCTATTTGACCTTTGCAGCAACACTGAGGGTAAATTTAGTATCATTTCTATTTTTCAGATGAGAAAATTGATCCACAGAGAGATTAAATGGTTTCTCCAAGGTTATTTAGAAAATGCTAGGATGACTTGCTAGGATTAGTGTGCAGGTTGTTTTGATTCTAACTCTTGTCAATTGGGCTCCCTCTTTCTATTGTGTTATATCAATTTGATATTCTTCAACTACAGTGCTTTTTAAATTTACCTTTACCATGTTAAAGGCCCCTGAGTCCAGGGACTATTTGGGATTATTTGATGTTTGTATTATCAATCATTACAACTGTGCACAATTTTTCTTACTTGATTAATGTAATTTGAATTGAACAGAAAATAATTGTTAGTTCTCATTTTTTTTTTCTGTTTGTCTGTTCTCATCTATTATCTCTCTCTTTTTTTTTTTTAGCCCTGGATGAGGGGGATATTGCCTTGCTGAAAACTTATGTAAGTAATTTTAATATCTATAAGAGATTGATATTATTATTGACATTTTCCTTCCAAATGAGTAGAGAATGTCTAGCAGTTTATAGTAATCTTCACTGAATAAAAATGACCCCTCTAAAATTTTTATCTAGAATATATCAGAGAATTAATATTAAATGTGTTTAAGCTTATATAGTTTTGTAACATTTGTAATTAAAGTATGATACTATATTGAAAGTTAGTTGAGGTAATTTATAGAAATCTTTACCATATTTAGGGTCCCTTCCTGGGTTAAAGCACAACACTATGAAGCTATCACAGCCACTACAACACAAGTTCGATCTCCAGCCAAGGGGGTGACCCACATGGTGTGGCAGACCTCTCCTGGCCTACCCTCTGCACCCCTCAGCAGTGTGTTTCAATAGATCTGCCTGTACTGCTCCCAGCTCTGTCTCTGGTGAAGCCTCTCACCCCCCCCCCCAACCTCTGGCCTGTACCCTAGTTTTGTATGCATAAATAAATAGATCTTTTAAAAAATGTTTACTGTATTTAAAATGTATATAATTGAATTAGGTCTGAAATGGAAAATTTCAATGGATATACATGGTCTGGAATTTTGGATAATTCCAGACATTATTTTACACAATGGTGCTTTGTCTGTCTAGAGGGAACTATTAGTTCAGGAATACTGCTGAAAATAATAGTCTTTCTTTCATCTTACAAGTTTTGGGACAATAATAGCTATTCCAATTATAACTTAAGATTTTACCATTGAATAAATTGTTGCTATCCTGCTATTGTAATTAAACTGATTTTTATCTTCTAGGGTCAGAGCACTTACTCTAGGCAAATCAAGCAAGTTGAAGATGACATTCAACAACTTCTCAAGAAAATTAATGAACTCACTGGTATATCTCTATTTATTACTGTTCTCTCTTTTAAAAAAATTTTTTTAAAGATTTATTTATTATTTATGTATACAGAACTGGCATATAGGCCAGAGGTGTGGGTGAGAAAATTCAGAGTGGGGAGCAGAACTGGTGGACTGACAAAATACACTGCTGAGGGAAGCAGCGGGCGGGTCAAGAGAGGTCTGCCGCACCATGTGGGTCAGCAGCCAGGTGGAGGATTGAACTTGTGCTGCAGTGGCTTCAGAGAGCTTCATAATGCGGTGCTTTAACCCATTGAGCCACCAGGGAGAGCCTCCTGTTCCCTCTTTTTAATGTATCTGTAAACTTTACATTAAATGAGTTTAAATAAAAAAAAAAAACCTTTCATGAACTATAGGTTTGAGAAAATGTTTATTGTTATCTTTTAAGAAATTGATTCTCATTTAAGAGTCTCTCACTACCTTTTACAACCAAGTTTAAAGCCTACACAATTAAGAAACATCATCTAAGTAAGTAATGTTTCCAGTACTCAAAAGCCTAGTTTGGTGAACTCTAAAAAGTAACTCATAATTTTTTATTAAATAAAAATATAACTTCACAAGGTATTGCTTGTAGTAAGTGAGATATAGTTGGAAACTTTTCCTCTTGGGCCCTTTTGAATGGTGAAGCTGCATATTATTTGACCTATACAAAATATGTAAAACATACTGCTAAATTTTAGATTTGTGCTTTAGGGCAGTTGTTCTCTACCAGGGTGATTTTGCTTTATTCTTCTGAAAATTTCACTGATTTGTTTTCCAGAGTCACAATCCATAAGGGTCATATGGCTGTATTTGGAGACAGTCTTGGTTTTCATGATTCGAGGGAAAGCTGGTGCTAATAGCATCTGTAGTGATAGGCTAGAGGTGTTGCTTGCTGTCCTATAATGCATAATGAATTATTCAGTCCAAAATGTCAGTACTGCTAAGGCTTTAGGGTAATACATACATTTCAGTGAATTTTGTAATATTTATGCAGGAATTAAAGAGTCTGACACTGGCCTGGCCCCACCTGCACTCTGGGATTTGGCAGCAGATAAGCAAACACTCCAGAGTGAACAGCCTTTGCAAGTCGCAAGGTATGCATCGTGCTCTGTGGAAATTTACTTTTATCTGTATTCTCAGGAACTTTTTAGCCTCAGGGATAATACAATAGTTCATAAACAATTTCCACTTTAAATTCTAAGTAAATACACTTCTACAAAGGTATTGGGATTAAAATTATATGTCTACAAGTTATTCAAGAAATAAATGAAGACTTAGTCTTAAAAGATCTAAATAATAGAAACATACACAGTCAAATCTGAAAACCTTCTTCAGACATAACTACTGAACATAGTTTGGTCCTCTTAGTTCTCCTGTATACCTTCCTGTATATTTCTATACAAAGAAACAATCCTGATTTGTTTTTTAGAAATAACTATGTTTTAGAGATCTTTCATTATCTTTGATTTACATACCTCTATTTCTTATTTTCTCTTATTTTTAAAAACATAATTTTCCGTAGCTGTTGGACTTCTTGCAGTTTGTTAGAATATATAGTGCTACACACCATTCACATATTTCTTTATATGTGCATACATTTATATAGACTACCTTGTTAGAGGTAGAATTTTGGAGTCAAAAACATTTATAGTTTTGAAAATCTGTTTTTTAAAAAAAGTGGTTTGATCAGTTTATATTCACACCAAGAGGTTTTGAGGGAAATACCTGCTTGTTCAATAAAAGATATATAATGACTGTTTTCTTACTTTGACCATTGGTGGGGGGGATCTCATTTTAATTTGCATTGTGCTACCAGTATGATACCTACTTATATTTATTATGCACTTTTATTTCTTTGTCATACTGTGTTCTGTTGTTTCTTGTTAATTTTTATATTGTTCACATAAGTCTTTTCTTAAATATGCTACAGATATTTCCCCAATCTTTTAATTCCTCGGTGTCTTTTGTTACACTAAAGTTTTCAAGTTTTAGGTCAACAAAATATACTATTTGATTTTAATGATGCTTAAAAGACTTAGAAGATTACATATTCTTCCCTGTTCTAGTATAGCTCTTGGTACATTATCCATCTTTTTTGTTTTTCTTTTCTTTTCCAGTTTTTAAGTTTCACTGTGATCTTAGTGAGTGAAATAGTTTGGTAACAGCTGTCTTTCTTGACTCCTTTTCCTCAGAGACACCATTTTTAGCTGAGTATTTTGGTTTCTACCTTCACATTTAATGGATAGTTTCTGTCTTGTTTCTTATTGCTTCTCCATCTTTTCTAGTTTTAGGTTATTAGCTAGTGACTTACTACCATGAAAAGGGATTATTTAGTTTTCTTCCTCTCCTTTTGCCCCAAAGACTTACCCTTTACTTTGCGTTCAGCTGTCTATATATATACTCCAGAGACCATTTTGTATTTCCTTGTATTTGTTGCTACAACTTATGTAGCAGCTCTCCAACATGACTTCTGCTTTTGTTTTTCTTTAGTGGACAGATAGTAGAGAAGAAGAAAGACAGTAGACTGTTTTCTACTGTGATATACATGGCATACAAACTTGCAGAGAATGAATACATTTAAGTTAAAAATCAAGAGACATTTTCATCTGTTGGAGTAAAAACCTGGTGTTACATAGTGATTCGGGTGGCTGTAAAAATAGCAACAATGAAAGTAGATTTCAAGTTTAAACTATGGAAAAAATGAAAATATTTACTTGAAGTAAGACAAAATAATGTCTTACAAGGAAGAGGAAAGGCGAGTAACCTAAGATATACAAGTGTATCACTAGAAAAGGAATCAGATTATAAAAATCAGAATTAGAAAACTTCTTCATGTTGAACTCTTTGGGTTTCTTTTCTTGGGTACTAGATCTTAAAATGTTCATGACTTTGCTGAAGTTGAGTGGACCCTTGGGCTTGAGCATGTTCTGTTAGAAAGGGACCTTTAATAGTGACCTAGTTTCAGTGTTCTAGTTTACACCTGCTCAAGACTGTATTGCAGCCCAGGAGAGAATCTAGTTACTTGAATTTGTTATTAGTGGGTTAGGTTCCTGACTAATCAAGCCTTTTGCTTTGTTAGGTGTACAAAGATAATCAATGCTGATTCAGAAGACCCAAAATATATTATCAACGTGAAGCAGTTTGCCAAGTTTGTGGTAGACCTCAGTGATCAGGTAGCACCTACTGACATTGAAGAAGGGATGAGAGTTGGGTAAGATTTCTATTTCCAGTACATATTCTTCTCTCATGAAAGATACCATGTCACATTGACAGCCTTCACTTTCTTTTGAATGAATAAACCAAGTGCCATGAATGCCAGGGGATAAACTAGCACAGTATGACAGCTGACTGTACTTTCTTCTCCATCTGTTTCCTGACCTTCTAGCGGCCTCTTTTATCCCACCCCCTAGTATAGCTTTTTATGAATGTCTTCGAATATCATGATCAAAGTTCATTGGAGAACTTTAGAGTTGTGTTCGCTAACTTAACATAGCATGATGTAGGAGGAGGAAGCATTTTACATAATAATTGCCTCAGTAAATTCTTAAATTTCTCTCCTCTCTGCAAGGTCAGTGTTTCCTTATGGTATAAATTTTTTTTGCCGCTGCGGGCTGGTGGTTTAGTGTCCTAAATTTAAAGCTCTCTTTGTATTTCTTTATGCCTGTTGCTTGTTAAAAGTATGTTTTTGCAAATAAAACACTAACATACAAACATATGGAAAGATTAAGGAATGTGTTAGTGAGTATCTTTTTTACTTCCTTAGTGTGGACAGAAATAAGTATCAAATTCACATTCCACTGCCTCCCAAGATTGATCCAACAGTTACCATGATGCAGGTAAGAATCTATAGGAGAGAAAAGGAATAACTTAACAGTTAATACAATTGCATCTTTTAAAAAGGTTTTAAATTTTTTAACTAGTAAGCTGCTAATATGAGTATGTATTATAGAGTTGCCGAAATTTTTAAAATAACTTTCTGTTGAGAATTTATCAGTCTTCTGTTTTGACAATTTGTCTATCACTTAACTATCATAACAACAAATATAGTAAGTAGTTTGACACTGGGCAATATATTTCACTTTTATTGAAATGCTTACTTGCTACAAGTCTGATTTTGTTTTTAGGGTATAGGATCTGTACAGATTATTTGGACTAGTACTGAAAAGTCTGTGGTTATATATATTCTCATGCCTGTCTTAGGTGGAAGAAAAACCTGATGTCACCTATAGTGATGTGGGTGGTTGTAAGGAACAGATTGAGAAACTTCGAGAAGTAGTTGAAACCCCACTACTTCATGTAAGTGTTTCAGCCTGTTGCATTTGCAATTTCTTTGTATAAGTCTGTGAGTCTTTTATATACTAAACATTAAATTTGTTAACAAAATATAAAGCTTCTAAAATTTTGTATTCCTCTTAAATTTCTTGAGGGGTAGGTGTGGCAAGTTGATAAGTTTAGAGAGAAAGCCAAAGGACAGAGTGATCTAGCCTATCAAAAAAAGAGAGAGAGAGAGAGAGCTTTACTTTTTAGAGGAACAAAGATGGTTGAAGTGTAAAGTTTAGCAGTGTGTTAAAATATGTTAGAGGTTTTTATAGAAGAAACCTTGCATTTTGAGATGCCATCATGAGATGAGTTTAGATTTAAATTAATGTTGGGAACATAATGTGATACTAGGGAATTAACTGTTAGATAGTACTTTGTTTTTTAAACACTAATTTTAAGTTTGGGTGATAGAAATAGAAACCTTGCAAAGCCAGTTAGTCTTTACTGACTGGCTGCATATTGCTAAGTCTAGTTTAGAGTTACTCTTATGTCTTAGAGTAAAATTCTTATTTAGATTGAATATATAGGTTGTGGACCTAATAATTTAAAATATATTGATATTGAAGTCTTTTTATTATATTAAAGTGCTAAGTGTAAAATTTATGTCTCCATCACAGCCAGAGAGGTTTGTTAACCTTGGCATTGAGCCTCCCAAGGGTGTGCTGCTATTTGGTCCTCCAGGCACAGGCAAAACACTCTGTGCGCGGGCAGTTGCTAATAGGACTGATGCTTGCTTCATTCGAGTTATTGGATCTGAACTTGTACAGAAATACGTCGGTGAGGTAAAGTACATTGGTCAGAGAAGCGGTAACTCTCCCCATGCTGCCCTGGGGCAAAGGAGGAGCCAGATTACGTGGCTTTTCCTATCACATTGGCAGAAATGAGACCTAAGGGTCTCCACTTCTGTGTTTGAGTTCTCTTACAAGCAGTTAGGCTGGCTGGACAGGTTTGAATCTGATTGTATTCTGCCCCATTGTTAATTAATCTTAAGGAAAAAACTATAGCTCCGAAAAATTTATAAAACATGGCTGACATTAAAATGACCATATCACAGTGAAAGAATAAGACTTGAAAATTTTTTAAAAGCTCTGGGCAATAGTGAGAGGCATATTGAGAAGTTTGAGCATAAATCTGTATTAAGCAATTTTTAAATCAATTCTCAATTAACAAATTGTTTTTCTCATTAGGGGGCTCGAATGGTTCGTGAGCTCTTTGAAATGGCCAGAACAAAAAAAGCCTGCCTTATCTTCTTTGATGAAATTGATGCTATTGGAGGTATGAGTGGTATTCTAGAGAACTACTTTTAAGATTGGTTTCATCAGAGTTCTACAGTGCTATATGTAGAGTTTCCTCGTTAATTTTGTACAAAATTTTAATGTTAACTTTCATGAGCCTAATAACTGTTGGGCTACACCGTAAAGGGAAAAATTTTATCTCATTGCAATTTCTGAAAATCTTTACCTCTGTGCTTACCTAATTTCATTCACATGACACATTTTTACACTTTAACAATTCCTCAATTACAATGTAGCTTTACCTAGTATAAGAAGGCACTGGAACATAGTTTGTGGTTTTTCATAAAGTATACATAAAATTAATTTTTGGCTTCATGGATTTGGTGTAGTGCAGTTATTACCTGTGTGTTATAAAGTTATTTTAACTGACTCTGAACTTATCAAGGAAATAACTCCTGTCTTGTTTTTCTTGGGTTTTAAGGTCAGACTAACATGTTAGTAAATGTGATAGACTTTGAAAACTCTAAATTGCCCAGTAGTACCAGACTCGTAGTATAGTGACTAATAATGTAATAGTAGTAATCCTAGTAATGTAATAGTAGCTGGAGAAATGTCATGATCAGGCAGTTATTTAATGAACTTAGTGACAGAAGTGACTTGAAAGCATACCAGACCCTTCTAGTAAGGATGGTGGTGGGGTTACCTTGTCTTGTTCTTAACACCGGATGAGTGCTGCTAAATTTGTAGTGTTTTCAAGGCCACAGTTTGAACACAGTATCTTGATAGAATGTGGCTGAAATTATTTTTATGGTATTGTTGGAATAAGCCTTATGATATGATGCTCTGAAGCTGTGGTTTCTAAAGTAGACTGTATGAAACATTGCTTTTCTTTGTATTTAATCCCATTCAAAAACTTTCCACAGTTGTATGTTTTATAATATACACAGTACACTAATACAATAGAATACATTCATATGACTTAAAAAATGAAAATGTATAACTGGAAGCTGTTTTTGCCTTTTTGGTTGCACTGAGAGGCTAACATGAACCTAGAAGACTCTTAGTATGTAAAAGTCAATATAGTAAGCTGTTAGTTTTAGTACATTATTAATGTAGCCATAATTGTAAAGTTTTGAGAAATACTGAATAGTGTAGTATTGTCTTGCATGCAGACACTGTGAAGGAGCTAAAATTTGAACGTATTCTATTGCCTACTCAGGTATATGTGAAGTAGTGGAATGATTTAAAAAACAAAATTGATTTTCAAAACAAAATCCCTTAACGAGAATTAAAAAAAAAAGGAGCTTGTGTTAAACAAGCCTATGATGAACCTTTTGTAAGCCGAAAATCACTTTCTAACTAGGTTTTTGTAAAGTAGCTTCTTTAGGTTCTGCCTAAAAGTGAGACATTTTCTTATGTTGAGGACATGATGAAATGAGATGTACAGTACTTTCAAGTTACAATTAGTGCTACTCTGCACAAGAGTTTATTTTTTCTTTTTGTTTTTTCAGGGGCTCGTTTTGATGATGGTGCTGGAGGTGACAATGAGGTACAGAGAACTATGTTGGAGCTGATCAATCAGTTAGATGGTTTTGATCCTCGAGGCAACATTAAAGTGCTAATGGCCACCAACAGACCCGACACTTTGGATCCAGCACTGATGAGGCCAGGGAGACTGGATAGAAAGATTGAATTTAGCTTACCTGATCTAGAGGTGAGAAAATCATTCATTTAGGAAAAGAAATTCTTGAATTGTTTTCTTCCTGTGTTGTTTTTTCGTTTTAACATTTGTCAATTCCCCTATTTTAGGGTCGGACTCACATCTTTAAGATACATGCTCGTTCAATGAGTGTTGAAAGAGACATCAGATTTGAGTTGCTAGCACGACTGTGTCCAAACAGCACTGGTAGGTTGAAAGGTCTTGCTTGAATTGAATTTGCTGGCATTTCTGGTCAGGCTGCTTTAATTAAGCCTGTTAATTTTCTTTTTTATTGAAAGGTGCTGAGATTAGAAGTGTCTGCACAGAAGCTGGTATGTTTGCCATCAGAGCACGGCGAAAAATTGCTACTGAGAAGGACTTCTTAGAAGCTGTAAATAAGGTCATTAAGTCCTATGCCAAATTCAGTGCTACTCCCCGATACATGACATACAACTAAACCCTGAAGTCTTCATGAAGATGTTGTTTCCTTTAATTGGAATCCAAACCCTATACAGGCTTGTTAATAACCATTTCACACAAGAAATAAATGGTTTCAGTATTGTATGCTTTTTGGATGTCTTTTTCTCTGTACCACAATAAAAGTAATGATATCAGATGTCACACTGTGCTTGCTTAGGCCAGGTATGTTCTAGTCAATATGCTGGCTGGGTGTTGTACATATTTTTCTTGTATCTTTCCAGCAGGGTTGGAGATAATGGAGCTTGACTTAATAGATGCAAAAACTTACCTACTTACTTGTAAGAGAACTGGGACTCAAATCCTAATATGTCAGTATCACTTACAGCTTTATACTTTTTTTGCCCCTATCAAAGTAGCCTATTTAGGCCTATAACTACAGATGTTTTAATGTTCTTTTTTCCCCTATCATGTTGAATAATGAAATTTTGTTCATATTTTTTTTGAAAATAGAAGCAACTGCTGTAATATTTTTTGCTTTCTTACTTGACTTGATTTCAAATTAATCGGAAATTACAGATTTTAATGACCAATGAAGTAGTAAAGTAAAAAGAAATACATATACACACAATAGTTATTTTAAAAATCCAAAATTGGCTTTATACAGAGAAATACTTATTTGCATTTTATAGATAAATGATTTATAACTCCTGTTAGACTTTGGTCTACAGTGAAGTATTTCTAAAATAAATAAGGATCCCCAACAGATCTCTAAAATTTCTCATGTGGCTATCAAATCTCTACCCTTCCTCCTCCACAATTACCTCTTTTCCCTCCTACAAATATTGAGACCCAAACACAATAAAGAGGCTTTTTATTATAGTTCAGCATTCATAAGTAATGTAAGTAGCATGAGCTGGATAAATTTTTAATTCACAAAAGAAAATGTTGACAAGATAGAAAATACTGTGTTGTATTAAAACATTTAAAATATGATTGTTTTCAAGCAGAAAAATCCACCCGCAAAATCATACTCATCCTTTTACGATTTTTTTATTTTGTGAAATGGATAAGAATAAATTTTTTTCTAGTCTTGCCCTAGTCTTTTTTGATAGCAAAATCTTTCCAAGTTATGCTTCTAATTAAAGCACACAATTAAGTGGCTAAAGCCTGATTTTATAGTGCATTGGTACATGCAAGCATTGTTTTAGAACACAGTCTGACATGTCATTTCTTTTTCATAATAGCCATATACATCCCATGAACTATTTTGAGACAAGCTGTAAATGTTAAGCACACCAGGGTTAATAATATAGGCTCTGACATTTGTTAGTTACATGACAAAATCTTTACTGCCACAAATCAAATGTGGCTATTAGATTAATTCATTAATCAAATTAGCTAAATGAAAATTTTTGGTGTTTCTACTGAGGCATGTGTTTGAATAGGGTCAACACTAGATTTAGCAGGTTTATGGCTTTTTAAAATAAGATTTACATTCACTACTAATTCTACCTAAAATCTCTGTGTACTGATGCATATGTATGTTTACACATATATCAGGGCATTGATAAGAATACAATGTGTATAGCTTTAGAAAATGTCACAGTATCCTTTAAGAGAGACTTTTAACATTTAAAAATGTGATTAGGTTTTAAAAATTTAGGTTCCACAAAGCCCAGATTTAAATGTTACATAAAATGAAATACTATTACAATGAAAAACTTGCTAAGGCAAGATAGATTTTTGAGACTTAAACCTGATTCATTCCAAGTAAGCACATCAGTTACTTATACAAAGATAGCTTTCGAACATTTTCACTGCGGTTTGAGGCATTTCAAAATACCACATGCAATATGGTCAGCTATAAACTTGGAGAATTAGATAGTATTTTTATCAGGTTTTTGCAACCATATTATTGAGGATTTACACATACCAAATCCTAAAGACATTCCTGAAACATACTAAAAAAGAACAGTAGTGTGTTTGTACTCACTAAAGTATACAGGCTCACACCAAGGTTTCAGAATTAATTTACTATCTTTAAAGGGGATGGATAATAAAGATGTACTCAATACATATTCTTTCCCCCCTCTCCCGTCCTCACCTCCCAACACAAGGGGATACCCTCACATCTCCCCAACAAAAAACACCTACCCACTCGAGGGCACATTCTCTGGGTTTGCTACACTCTCCATGCACATATGAAGGTAGACTCATTCTCTCAAAAGCTATCTTTGAAGGCAGGCACTTCTCTCTGTTACAAAGGTAAGGATACAGGTTCAAACCATATGGAGTGGACATTTTAAATGTTATCTGAAAATTATAAAATGAGCTGCTTCTAGGACTTGCAAAAGATTCATATCCTTTGGTGTTTCTCTAAGTCTTTACAGACACCATGCAGAACTGTGGTCCTATCAGCTGCCTTATGATTAGAAAGGATCAAGATCTATGATATGAATTAAGCTTTTCATAGGCCTGGTTTCCAGTATGTTTTCAAAATGCATCCATTTGGGAAAGAAAAGGATTTTTCTATGGAGAACCTTCCAGAAAATGGTTTTCATTTAAATGCTTTAAAATAAGGTTAATCCAGTCCCTAAATCTATCAATGTGGATTATACTAATTTTGACTTGTAAAAGACCAAGACTCAGGAAAATTTCATTTTATGAAGTAGTTCTCAGTAAAACACGCCAACAAACGTATACAGTATGTTTTGAAATGCACTCATTCTCAGAGGCACACTAAAACAAAAACATTTCAGAGAGACATAAGTGCTCTTTATGTACATAATAGAATTCTATTCAAATAGGTTAATAATTAAAGAACAGAAAAATACAGATTGTAAGATTTAGACAATTTTAAAAATACATTACTTCTAACCTATCAACAACTAGGACTTGTGTATCTTCTGGGTAAACATTTGTTGAAGAACTGTGCTAAAGAATATGCAATGAAGTGTAACATTGTTTATAAACCTTAAATTCTGTAATGGCTGAAATGATGTGTGCCCTTTTATAAAAGTCTAATAAATAATCTGAGGTTCTACAAATATATGCTCTTTCAGAAGGCAGTCTATTGGAATGCAGATGTATCTGATCTTGTGTGTGTGATGACTGCAAAGAAAATAACTGGGTGCAAACCTAATTTCACTCTAGATCTAAATGAAGTATTGCTTAGAAAGGGAGGGTCTCATTGAATTAGTAAAGTGACTGAGAATCCTGGTAAGAGTTAAAGGAAACAAACCATAGTTAAAGGAAACAAACCATGGTAAGGATCTGATCATATTTTCTCCTAGCAGTATTTTCTTCATGATAACTGAAACAAGTCAAAAGTAAAACATAATAGAAACAAAATAATAGTAGGAAACCCTAGAGCAGAGACTTTAGGTGGGTTAGTAAATACTTGCACTTTGATTTACAGTGAGTTGGGAATTAGAGCTACAGACCAATTAATTGGACTAAAGGTCCCTCTTCCTTTTGAACATTTCATATTTCTATACCACCTATGAAGAATGATTAAAATAAGCATTTTACTCATAGGCTTGAAATTGAGTTTGAAAAAGAATGAACTGATAACTTAAGGATTTCTAAGGAAGGTCTTATTAATCTACCTGGGAGTTAGCTTTCCTAAGAACACGGTCTTCAGGGCTACTTTACTATTAGCAATAACAACAAAACTTCTAGGGCCTCCTAGTGGCCACAGTTGTGACAGTTTGAGCACTGAAAGAACTATGATAGACTGAAATACACTAAAACTAGAAAATTCATGACTCTGTAAGTATACCAAAAAGGGGAATACAAAAGAATCTAATTTGTTACCATCTATTAAATGAGATGCTTATTTTGAAGTTCATTACTAAGTAATAAAACATTTTACCTGCTTTTCTAGTAAAAACTATTTAAAGATGATCTAACAGCTCACGTTCAGGAGAGAAAGCCATAGTTTACATAGAAACATCAACTAATAAATGCAGAAGAAATGAGAGAATTAGAAAAAAGATCACAAACCTTAATAAAATTACTGATTTAGGTAAACACTACTGATTCAATGTTTAAACTCTTTGGTGAACGACTAATGGGGAACTGAACATTTATTTAATGCCAAAAGAACACCATCCAGTAACTCACAAAGGAGAAGCATAGTTGGGGGGTCAGGCAATCATGTTTAGCCAGTGATCTCTAACAGCATGGTTAATGTAGGTTAGCTAAACATCATGGATTTTCCAAAGTGATTGTAATTTGAAATGTGTTTCACTTATGATATATTGTAGCAAAAAAAAAAAAGTTATTCTAATTCATAAAACCATTAGATAGAACTTCCAGATTATAAGCAGTTCATGAAATAAACAAGTTAAATAATATATTAAGAAAGTAATAGATATATTTATAAAATGGATTCTATGAGACAACAGTCCTAAACTCCCCCCTTTTTCTATTTTTAATGATTTACTTATTTATGCCTACAAGACCTGGGGTGTAGGCTAGAGGTGGGGGTGAAGGTGAAGAGGTGGGGGTGGTGATGGTGGTGGTAAGAGGATTCACTATAGAGACAGAGTGGGCGGCAGAACAGATCTACTGAAATACACTGCTGAGGGGAGCAGTGGGTGAGATAGGAGAGGCCTGTTGACCCTGTGGGTCAGCCCCTGGGCTGGGGAAGCTTCATAGTACTGAGATTTAACCCTCTGCACCACCATGGAGGCCCTGCTCCAACCCTTTAACAAGTCAATGTAATCAAAAAGAGGGACTGTGTGAAGTTAAAATAAAGGACCTAAAGTGACATGATCAATGTAAGATCATAAAATGGTTACCAGTTTGCACAAACCTATAACACATTTGGGGAGAACTGGGAAAACCTGAATATAGTTTAAGGTAAAATGAAGATTGTCAACTGGAATAAAAAAAGGTTATGAGACAGTAGACACTATGCAGAATGTGATCTTATTATGGTTAAAAATGTAAACACAAATGCATAGAAAAATTTCTGAAAGAATATGTATTAAAGTGTTAATGATAATCTGTGAATGGTGGCAATGATTTTACTTACTTTATTTTTGCTTGCCAACTTTTTCTAATTTCCTGTAGTATACTTTATTATTTTGCTTCCATGTTAATAAAGAAATTATTTTTAAAAGAGGAACTTCTAGAAAATTGTGGATTTTTCCTCTCTGTTAGATAATTCAGATTATACAAATTGTAGATCAGTAAGTATAAGAACAAGGATCTACTACGCATCTGGCAGTAGCAGATTTGACTTGCAAGTAAAATACTTAAAGGAAATAAATTTGCAAGTGCTTAACTTACAGAAGGAATGTTTAACGGCAACAAAAATATTGCTTATGATAATCTCAACAAGAAATCAATTTATCTTTGAAATGATAAAAAAAAAAATCCACAAGTAAGATACATCTTGCTATGTGTCATTCACTCTCCAAATCAAGCCTTGATTACTATAGTCTTTACTATTTGACTACTGGTATAGTGTAGTATTTACCCCTGTCGGGAGACTTCTATGGGCTAGTATTTAAAATGGGTAAATCAGTAGTCACGAGAGGCTCATACCCCATCCCGGCCGGGCTGTTCAGCTAAGCCTCCGCAGTGTCGTTGGGCTCCAAGTCTTCCTGGGGAGGGAGAGCCGAGGCCTCCTGTTCAGCAAGCGCCTCTCGAAGTTGGCTGCCTAAAACTGCATCATGAATGCTGTGGAACAGAAGCTCCATTAAGGCAGGATTTTCAAAAAATCGATTTCGAGTGAGATCATTCACAACTTGTGCTATACAGAAAAAGAAAACAAAATTAGTGTACACTCTGAGTATCAATCTTAAACATAAAAAAGTAACACTTGCATTAGATTAAATATTTCAAATGATGACTAAAAAGTCTTACTCCAACAACGTCCCCCATAACATCACATTCTGAGTCACAGCATGCTACTCTTATTTTTCTTGTGTATTCTTCTAGTACTTCTTCTTTACATATATATAAGAAAGCAAATACAGAAATACATTTTTAGTATCACCCTTCTTTGTACCCAAAAATAGCATACTATAACCTGGATTTTTTTTATGTTAACTGTTTAATTTTTACCACTATGTGATGGTCTAGCTTACGGATATACTCTAGTTTATTTAACTGGACCCTTTTGTTTGACATTTATGTTGTTTCCAGGCTTTTGTCTCTATAGATGTTATTGTGATGATGAATCGTGCACTTGTGTCATTTTGCATATATAAGCAGCTTGCTGGACCTGCTGGGTTAGAAGTTGTCATTTTGAAAGCTGAAGCCTTCTCCAGGCGCTGTTCCATTTTGCATTCCCACCAGCAATATCTGAAATGCCTGTTCTCCATGGTCTGCCTAAAGAGCCTGGTGTCAAATATTTTTGATTTTTGCCATTCTGCTAGGCAAAAACTGATGTCCTTCTGTAGGCTTTATTTTCAAGTACTGTTTTAGACAATATTTAATACAAAATAAAAATAGCAGATATTGTATCAAAAATGGTATTAGGTAACTGTGTTAATAGCAGTAATTAGATAGTTACTAAAAAACACACTCACCCAGAATAGTTTTATTAGCTCCTTTCCTGCAATTCCAGTTTCACAGGCCCACCACAAGTAACCCAGTAACATACATGCTTGTAAGTGGTTAATTACAGAGCTAGCTTTTAGAGTGATTTTTGGAATAGTTTCATTTATACCAAAAATAAATTAAGGAAAACATTTCTAAATACAATCACTAAAAGGGAGAAACAAAACCAAAATGTTAAAACTTCTCCCCATTCTGGATTATACTCACCACTGCAGCCTGCTAAATACACATAAATGCCGACATCTCCATATTCTTTTACAATCTGTAATGTTGAAATAGATTTAGTTTGTTTTGATTTTTGTGTTAGAAGCAAGTTTCTTTTTACTAACATTAATATTTAAGATATTCTAGCTCATTCAAGTTATTCTACTTCAGTAATTATGTACTTTTGAGTTAATCATTTAAAATAATTTTCTATTTTTTATTATATGGACAGTAGTAATGAGACATATCAAAGGATTACTGTTAAATCTTACTTATGTGTTATATAGGTATTATTTAAAAAGATTTATTTATTTATGCATACAAGAACTGGGGTACAGGCCAGAGGTGTGAGGGATGAGAGGATGAGAGGATTCACCACAGATGGAGTGGGGAGCAGAGCAGGCAGAAATACACTGCCGAGGGGAGTAGCAGGCAAGACAGGAGAGGACTGCTACGCTATGTGGGTCACCTCTCTGGCCAGGATCGAATTCGTGTTACAGTGGCTGCAGGGAGCTACATATTGCTGAGCTTGTGTGCCACCAGGGAGGGCCCTATATAGGTATCCCAGTAATGATTTAGAAAAAGAATCTTCTTATAGGGCTATATATCCTGAAATATTTACAGAGGCTGTCATGATTAGGATGTGCTTCAAAATAAGATAAGGAAGGTGGGTGTGAGGGATAAATGAACAAGATTGACCATAAAAGGATAATTGTTGAAGCTGAGTCATAGCTACATAGGGTTAACACTATGTTCTTTACTGTTGCGTATTTTTTAAATTTCCAAAGTTAAAGTTGAAAAAAACAACAAGAAAGAATTTTAAGAATTAAAAACACTCTTGTTGAACTCTAATTTTGCCAGTTGTGAAACTGGACACAGCTAATAAATAAATGCCTTGTTTATGATGATGCTTACCCCTGCTACAGTTTTCACACCGACAGAATCAATAAAATTGACTTGCGTAAAATCCAGAATGATAGTGTGTACATTATCCCCTGGGGGCAGGAATCGTTGCATTTCCTCAGGAAATGTGCTCTTGATAACAATTGGGGGATATTTTACTTCATCATCATTTTCTTCAGGCTTGGTGCCATCTTCTCCATCCACTTCTGCATCCTGCATCAAAAATAAAATTAAACCAGAATACTATGAATGATATATAATATTCAGTTGCCTCAGTTTCTTCTCTTCCCTTATATTGCATATGTATTCGATGAAATCTATATTTTAGTATCATATTCATTTTCTCCTAACTGCTAAAACAGTTCCAATTACTTCAGTATGACAGGCCACAAATCACCATAAGCCTGAATGGCAAACTCCAGTCCCTTAACTTTTTTACTATGAGTTGAATCTAGGACAAAGTACTAATGGTGACATTTATTTAGATACAGTAAGGTGGGCGGGGGGGGGAGGAGTAAACATTGTAAAATGAACAATAATATAAATAGCTATATAAAATATAAAAATGTATGCTACTATTGCTTGAACACTATAATAAAGTTTTTATCTCTTTGTGTTCATAACAAAAAAATAAAGACATTTTGTTAAGAAAAAAAGATACCAACATCACTGGTAGGTTTTTAGGAAGTGGCTTAAAGCTAAATGACTTTTCTAGACATTTTACTGTAGGGTAATTGATATATACAAGAGTTCAGTTCCTTTAGCATATTTCTAGTGATAAGAACATGAGCAAAATTTTAAGTGAATAGCTTTATTCATTCACTCACTTTCCAACTGACCTATTCCAGGCATGGGTGTCAAGTGACCAGAGCCTACTTTGGCAGCTTAGAGCACAGGTGGGAACTAAGCAGGGACAAGGCACCTTTCACTGCAGGGTGCATCAACACACATCATGCTCACTCAGGCTGGGACAATGTAGACACACCAATGTGGCTAATGCTCACCTCTTTGGAATGTGGAGAAAAACCTGAGTATCTGGGAGAAAACATGTGCAGACATAGGAAGAACATACAAACTCCACACAGTCTAGCTGGGAATCACATTTTTTTTTTCTTATCAACATTATAATGAAATTGATGTTGAAGAAAAGGATGTTGTTTGAGGACTGGATGTACTCTATGATTTTCACTTTTTAAAACATTTTCTTGGGCTCATATCACTACTCATTTCAGAAGCATTTCCATAACTGATCTTACTATAAATCTTAGATTCTTTATAAGTTTTTCTATTTTAGGAAAGTAGAACTTTGATTCTGAGTAAAGGCTGGCTGGGCACTGCAGATCAAGAGTGTGGGGCAAATTATGATGACGTCACCCTTACCGCTTTGACAACAGTTGCATTGGCCATATTTGCATTTCCAACTTCCTTAGCATACTTCCTCATGGCCTTTCTTCTTGCTCCCATTATGAGTGCTGGGTTCACACCAGTCTTCACAGAGAAACAACACAAGCAAAATCACTGCTTGTCTCCCAGGGACACACTCAAAAGCAAATGATCATAAAATCTCCCCATCTGAATATTTTCTGTTAAATGATCACCCAGCTCCATTCTTCCCTCACTAGTAACCTTTCTTATGCTTGATTTTCATTCAAGACAACCAGGAGCTAAAATATTAAACATTTAAGTGGTGTTTTTAAAATTCTCTCTTTCAAGATAATGTGGGGTTAAGTCCTAATCATGATCCAAGGAACACACAAAGAAAACTATTTTACTCACAAATTTTTAGGGAAAAGATAGTACTTCAATGATACAAGGGAGATGGTATTAGACACCAAGCAGTAAGAATGTACCAAATTCTGTTCATTGAATTGTACCTTTGAAAATGGCTGAGCAAGACATTCAAGTGACCCTCACATCCCAGGTCCCCTCTTTAGAAATAAACACTCTGAATCTCTTGATACTCACTCACCTTCCTTTTAAGTGCATTGCTGTACAAGTCACTATTTGCATAATAAATAGGAGCATTTATTTGGAATATTTTTATTCCAGGAATTTCTTTTACCTGCAAAATAAAATATCAGTTACTTTAACACATGGAAATATTTCAGAATTAAAGCTGCAATTATTTTCCCTTCTCCAAATGTAAAATTAATAAAGAAGCTCCTAAGAGCCATATGAAAATATTCACATAAAATACTGTCATTCTCCAAGGGTGTCCACTATCACCACTGCTCTTCAACATAACACTGGAAGTTCTAGCCAGAGCA